GAAAGGGAGAGAGTAAGCAACCTTGTCTGATACCGGTCCTCACTTGGAATGTAGCTGTCCCATATGCACGACTCTGCAACGTAGTCTGTCGTATGAATCCCAGATGATGTTAAGGATCTAAGCCACTCACCCATAGTTTCGAAGAAGGTTCGCCCATCCACGCTGTTAAATGCTTTCTCATAGTGAAGGAAGTTGGTGTAAAGTGACGAATTCAATTTAGTTGGTTGTTCAACAATGATCAGTAGTGTCGCGATTTGGTCTGTGCACCACTGATCTTTTTCCTCCATTTTCTCTAATTCATGTCGTGCCATGATATTTTCATACGTGATGTTGTCTAGATCTTCCATCCCAATGGTCATGTATTTTTGGACACTTTTTTACGGTTGACTTCAGTCTGCTATAAAATTGTTCTTTATCGTCTGCACTGCTATCATTAGTGAGTGCCTCTGCACTAGATAACATTTACTGTAATCCTCTCCTTTGTTTTGAGGACTGCTTGGATGATTGTGGATCCATGAAATTCCCATCCTATGGATGCTTGTTGTGCTTCTTCGAACAGCATCAATGTAACTTCTTTTGTTTGCGAAGCATTTTCTCATTCATGACCAACGTACAGTAGCGGCTCTCCCGAATCGAGTCTTTTATTTCCGGCTTGGATTCAGTGTTTTTCGATAACATTCATTGTGATCTCCTCCTTCTTTGTTTTGAAGGAATGTACGATGATTCTTGATCCGTGATATTCCCATCCTGCAAGTGCAAGATATTGCTTTTACATAGATATATGTTAGGGTTGAACTTGCTTCTTGCTTAACACAAAATTCAATGCAAAGTGAATGTTTTACTTCATGGTATAACACAAATGCTGCTAGTAATAACTTCCTTATTGACACTGAAGTTTAATTGAACTTGATAATGTTAATTTTACCAAATTTATCAACTGACAAATAAACTTGATGGCTGAAAGCCAGAATACTGTATGTTAAGAATTACTGCATCTAAACACGAAAAATCAGCTGGCTCTCCAAGCGTTTTGCTTTAATTTTCTGTACAGCCTAACTGATTTCAGATGCCAAAGTAATTTGCTTCACATATAGTGTATTACAACATGCTTCTTTAGAAAGTTCGTATGAAAGATGCCAACAGATAAAAGATCTTATTTATATCACAGAGACCAAGTATTATTTTTCAGCTATTGAGTGATATGTAAGAAAACTGATCACCTATGCCTTTCAGCAAAAAAGAATTTCCCATAACATTTACAATGTTGTTATTCTATAAAAGCTAGTATTTTGGATGCAGATTAATGGCCAGTACGTGAGGTCTTTAATATGCTTGGTGGTCTGCAATCATAATGCACTATCAATATTGATATAGATGCTATTGATTCAACAGAACAAACTTACAGACCAAACAAGCATAAACTCCCAACAAAACAAGATAATAGAAACGTACTAAGACCGTTTGTTGTCCAAAACCAGGTTGACTTAAAAGTCGATGACAGGGACGTTGGGTTAAAAAATGTTGGGAGCCACAGCAATCTTTATAAGTGGATCAACGAGAGTACTACAAAAACCTAATCTAAAAGATTTTAATCGGTGATAGTATGCCGATCATGCATACTTGAGTTCTATGTCCGTAATCGGTTTATGTGGACAACGGATTTGTTAACTAAACAAGTTGGTTGTTTAAAAACCATAACTCCACTCAAATTATCGATAACATAACCAAAGCAACGAACAGAAGCACCGGGAAGAAATTAAATAACTCCAGATTCCCAGTAAAGTTTGTCAGTCGTATGTCTGAAAACGAATAACTTTATGTTTAGAGTTCTAACAACTAACCAGTAGTAAGCTCATTTTGATGATTCTAAGGACAGAAATCGCCACGGTCAATAGAAGTCAAGTAGATAGCTTTCATCTTAAAATACAACTACAAGGCTCATAGATCTAAAAAAAATTTATTCCCCTTACAGACTGAGAGAGTGCTCATATTTTTACATGATTTCTTAAGACATTAAGTCATGTGAAGGAAGAACGGCAAATCGAGATAAAACCAGTTCACATTTTCCATATGCTATAATATTATGAGGAAATAGTTTTGTTGTATCCATAATGCATTTCCATAGAATAACACTAGCAAGTGTATTTAGACGTGTTTTACACAACCTCGTAGGTCGCGTTCATGAAAATGAGTATGGATTTGCAAGATACGTACTTACGTCAACAAAGTAAATCTCTTTTGAGGGTCTCTTTTCGGGTTGAATTTTCGAGGATATAAATCCAAACATCATATAAGACAAGCACTAATTAATTTTACTTCTAATATACTTCGGGTTTTATAACCCAGCCTTGGCTCAAATAAATGTTTACAGCAAGTATCTCTCAACGAGTCACCTGGTCCTTCTTAAAGTCTTAGACCTCAAACTTCAGGTTTAAGAATCCTTAAAGTACCATGTATAATCAGTGAAGCGTACACAAATAAGCATTCATGGTTGGGCGATGAAATTATAAACTCTGCCTGTTGATCTCTAGAGTGATAAAGGAGGGTTAGGAACACCATCCAGTAGAAAACAGCATGACCAGAGAACATCAGCCGGACATCAAAGCACCACAAACAGACCTTCTTATAGATATCACTCCACCAAAGACGGAAAAATCAGTATGGCTATCAGACAAAGCAAGAGTGGGAAACCAGCAGGACCTGACAATATACTAGCTGAAGCACTGAAGTCAGACATTGAAGTAACTGCAAACACGCTCCACGTTCTATTCAGGAAGATTTGGGAGGATGAACAAGTGCCTATGGACTGGAAAGAAAGATACCAAAGAAAGGAGATCTGAGCGAATGTGAGAACTACATAGGCATCACACTACTGTCAGTACCAGAACACGTTTGCAACAGTGTTGCTGAATCGGATGAAAGACGCGTTGACGCCCAACTTCGAGACCAACAGGCTGGATTCCGTCAGGATCAGTGGTGCACACACCAAATCGCGACACTACTGATCATTGTTGAACAACCAACTAGATTGAATTCGTCACTTTACACCAACTTCCTTCACTATGAGAAAGCATTTAACAGCGTGGATGGGCGAACCTTCTTCGAAACTATGGGTGAGTGGCTTAGATCCTTAACATCATCTGGGATTCATACGACAGACTACGTTGCAGAGTCGTGCATATGGGACAGCTACATTCCAAGTGAGGACCGGTATCAGACAAGGTTGCTTACTCTCTCCCTTTCTCTTGTTTCTGATTTATGAAGACTGGGTTACGAAGACCTCCACGTCTGAACAGAAGCATGGTATACAATGGGCAGCGTGCAAGCAACTAGATGATTTGGACTTCACAGATGATCTAGGCCCCCTATCATATACACAGTAACAATTACAAGTGAAGACAACTAGTGTAGCAGCAGCCTCTGTATCAGTAGGCCTCAACACACAGTGGAAAATTGAGATCCTCAAATACAACACGGAGAACACCAACCCAGTCACACTTGATGGAAAAGCTCTGGAAGATGTGGAATCTTCCACGTACCTGAGAAGCATCATCGATGAACAAGGAGGATCGGATGCAGACGTAAAGGCGAGGATTGGCAAAACAAAGACGGAATTCCTACAGTTGAAGAGCATATGGAACTTAAAACAACTGTCAGCCAACATCACAGTCAGAATCTTCAATACAAAGTTCTATTGTACAGAGCTGAAACATGTAGAACCACTGCAACCATCATCAAGAAGGCTCAAGTACTACGCAAGATTCTCAACATCCATTGGCCGGATACCATCAGGAACAGCCTTCTCTCGGAGTCGACAAACCATCTTCCATCTCAAGAGGAAATTAGAAAAATACGTTGGAAGTGGATAGGACATACATTACGGAAATCACAAAACTGCATCACGAGGGAAGCCAAAGGACACATTACGTCACGAAATAGAAGCAGATATGAAAAGGATGAATGACGACTGAAAAGGATTGTCCAGGACAGGGTTGGATGGGCGGCCTGTGCTCCTCCACGAGGAGTAGCATGCGTAAATAAAAATAATAATGATCACTATTTTAAAATTTCAGGGCATGATTGACAGAAGACCTCATCGTCCAATGATAGCCACTTCAAACCAGGTACTTGATGTAACTTAATGGTCAAGGTTAGTGCCAAACAGACGTCTTGTGAAGAGAAACCAAGACTGAGACAATAGTCAAGGGTGATGAGCCTTATACGGCAAATTAGGAAAAAGTTTCTTTTAGCCGAGCAGTTCATGATTAATATCAAGCATCTAACCATGAGGAGTTATTCGTAAACTGCTCCCGTTATATTGTTAGTTCTTAATATGAAACGATATCAACTATTATAAGTTCTAAATTACCAATCAGTTACAATGATATTGAGCAGAGATGGATGATGACTGACAATGGAATGCAAATGCATGTTTAGTCCTAGCTAAGTGGATAACGCGATGGGGTTTGAAATGATAGGAACTGGGTTTTAGTCCCAGAGTGAACTGTAGGATCCAATATCATGCAACCGATGAGTCATAGATAAGAGGAAACGCGCGTCCAGAGTTCCACTGCTAGCCACTACACATCTATTTTTTTAAAATAACTTGTATATTATGTACGTGCAGAAAAATGTTCATACAGGGACTATAATGTTCTTTTTGATTTTTCAGCAACTAATGCGTGTGAGCCAACAGTTTTCGTCTTGATTTTCTAATCCGCTTTATGAAGTATGTATACGTGACAGGTTCCTTGTAGTTACTTTGCAAGGAACAGAAAAAACAAACTGAAATTGAGCTTTAGATACCATTTGAAAGGCAATAAAGTTAATTACACAGCTTTTAATGCACAGCAAAATAAGGCATATTTATTAGTGAAAAACACATGGTTTGTGTAAACATTTTCAGAAGTAGAATAAACGCAGAGAAAACCAGTTTTCGGAAAGATATTTTAAAAGGTAAAGTTAGTTTTAAATATTTAAGAACTTTATAATGACTAACACTATTGTAAAATGTTGTTTATATGTTTAGAATGCCAATGCGTATCTCCATTCAGGCATTTCCATACAAATATTATAAGAGTAGATAGTTGACTAGGGACAATTAAAACAGTAGTATATGTAAGGGCACAAATTATTGCTAGTGTGATGCAATCTATCAGGAATAGTTAAGGGGAAAAGCAAAAATGAATCAAAATATGAATGTCACTGACTCGTTCGAAAAGGTCAGGGCTGTAAAACTGGAATTTATCAGAATGATGCATATAAATCCATTGGTGCTAATTAGGAATTTTTAGAACATGATATTGATTAGGTCCCCTTATATTTGTCTGATATCTGTTTTCAGCTGTTACTTCATAACGCGAATTGAGACTTGTTTGAGAGATTCTAAACTTTTTCATTTGTACTTTGAAGTCTCCCTGCATTTTTTCACTACTTTAGTCAAGATTTTTTGAGTCAAGCTGTCCATGTGTATTCATACGAAATAAAAATCTAATTGCTTACAGCTTCCCGTGATTTACTGCTGTTGCTAGCAACTCATACTCAGCCTTAGAACCAAGCACATAGAGATTTCACAAGGCGTAGTTAATAGAATACACTTCCAAAATAAAAAGGGAAACTTAAGTCGCAACTCATCCACCTTTTGTCTTGAAAATAACTGAAGGTACTTGTATGTTTTAAAGTTCACTTTAAAAACAAAAACACCATGATGTCCACTTGAAGGCCTAAAAAGAATACATTTTCTTTCTTTAATAAATGAAACTATAACAAACGCGCATCACATAGAAGAATCTCCGTGAAAGAAATGGAGTTTCTACTAATGGGCTTTCAAGAGAATTTACATAACTTATGCATTTGAAAATTTCTCATGTAGTGAAATGCTCATCATAGCAATGAAAAAGGATACGTAGTATGACCTTTTCCCATGGTTCACACAAATAAATAGCCAAGCATAAGCAATATTTGTTGAACAGACTGTGAAGAGTTCGGCAAGGTGATGCGATCATTTTGTTATGGGCTGCTACGTATTTTTATAAAACTTACTATCTATCAAAATGATCTATACTTCACTTAGGTTCTAAAAATAGGAATAACACAACATTGAAGACATTTATACACATTGTTTTTTGTTTTTGAAAATTCGAGTTAGTCATAATATAATCACACAGATCAGGTAACTTTATTGAAAAAGTGTCGGTTGCTGAGTTTTGACTAATATAGAGTTGTCTACAGTTAACATAGATTAGTAGGATCTCACATTTTTAGAAAAATCTGGTGCTACGAATGGGAAAACAAACACTGTTTAGTTCTATTCAGGGACTGCGGAGCTGGAATGAATTTAACCAAATTTAATTAGGCATTTCCATTTTACTTGATAAACTTTGATTAGTTATGGTACAGAGATGACTGTTACTTTGATGAAACTCTAAAGTACGTGTATAAATAAGCAAACAGTTCTGAGTTCCATCCTCGTATTGTGCTTTGAACTTTGTATTCGTTTAAATAAATGGCCTAAATGACCACCAAACATTTGTTGGAAGTATATTGTTAGTTATAACTATTTTACAAATTAGGATTACCCAGGGTGACAAAGCCCACCAATCTTGATATTTTCCAATGACTAAATCCGGAAAGGACATATGCTAATATAACGCAGTATAGGGCGAATGTACCTAGATGACAAAGTGAAAGTTTCTTCTAGTTAGTGAATAAATAATAGTGGTTCCTGACACAATTTCAAGACCTATACTACTCTTATTTCCTCTGAGCTACGTGGTTAAAGTGCGAAGTTATCGTTCTTAAAACATGACCGAAAAACGTAGGGTGGGATCTAATTATTATTAGTGGTCAGCGACCGGAAGGATTGACCAAAACATGCGGTAGCAGATTTATTAGTGAACACCTTTACGGTGAGGCTTAGTCTTCAAGGAGGAACATTTCAAAATTTACTGCACTGTAAACTGAATTAGGATGTCACTTTAGGAGCGATGAATCATTAGTATCAATAGGTAGAAACGCAGATATACAAAAACAGATGAGAAAGAGGTTTCCACTTAAATTAGTGGAAAATGCAAGAGTCCTCAATTGAATACCTAGTTTCTGTTTTACAAAACCGGGTGACAGACTGAACCAAATTAAAAAACTGAATTCCAAGGATTGACTATTTTTAAGGATTAGATATCGAACCAACAAATCAACAGAAAATGCTAGATCGCTACTCTGTGGATATTCCGTTTAACGTCGGTATTAGAAACATACTCTTAAAAATATTTTAGCACTCCCATGAGTTGATTTATTCAACTTTTCATGGACACTCCTTTGTAGATAACGCTTCCATAGCACAACTGTTAAGGGCTGATCGACTAACAGGAGGTTCATTTATTCACTAGGGATAAGCAGATAACATAGTCCTATTAGGTGAAGACTGAATGAGTGCAGTCTTCTGACCATCTAAAACAACTTTATGATGTTTAATTCCTTTTAACCGTAAAATGTAGTTTCAGGACTAGCCCTGAACTAAAGAGGTTAGTCGCTTCGCTTATTTCATCAGCTTTCAAGGGTTGGTGTTTGACGCGATTTCGGTTGGCTTTTATCAACTTGAACTACTTGTGGAGTAACTGGGTTGTTTATTTCCCAACTAAAAGACGACTACACCACACGGCGATCGGTTTTATTTCATTTATGGCTGGGTAACGTGGCCTTTAAAAATAAGAGAAAATACATAGGTTACTAGTATTTGATTATAGAAGCGCTGCTCGCATATTTTGGTCTTGTTCTCTGGGCTAGATGGTTTGGCCGTGAAATTTTCAGTGCTTTTCCGGGACATCAGAAAAACAATAGAAGTTTTACATACGTATAGTTGGACATCCTATACTCCCACTTTTCCATTAACATAGCTCTAAAGTTTACGGATCCGTGTAGTGCTTCGAAGCACTACACAAAATATTTCCTCTTTACTAATCGTAATACCAGCATATCTTTCATAAACAATGGTGACTAAGCATTGAAAAGTGACTTTGAGTTCAACTTATTTTGCTTTATTCGCATGATAATGTGAATAGTACCATGTGTTTTATAAAACTGCAGAACCCTCCGTGGTCTTTTGTTGCATTTCCACGAGACCTGCAACGGATCTCCCATAAAATCGACTCAAAATGGACTAATTTTGACACGACGCTGTTAGCATGATATTTTAACTTATCTGACATTGAAATTGGATAAATTCACCCTAATAAGACATGAAATTTTGGGAATTGAATTTTTATTGGGATTCGAATGAGTAAAGTAATAAGGGGAGAAGATAGAAAAAACGAGATTTGGAGATATGTAACATAAACAGGACAGGGAAAAGGGCTGCAATTAAACTCAACTAGATTTCGTAATCGTGGCAGTCCACTTGGCAACCAATCAGAATGGAGCGGGAATTATCATATCCGCCATCTTTGGAAGCATTAACGGTCGGCTTACTTCGTTCTGGTTTTCTCCGCTGTTTCTTTTGTGTAGCTGCTTACTTTAATGTTTCGATGTGCTGGAATTCTGCAGTCAATGTAATACTCTATGTATTCAGTTTCAGTTCGGAAGGGACATGAGGCTTGATGGCCTCTGTCAGTCATGGCAATGATAGTATCTCATTTGGTCCAACTTTATTTTGAAAGAGTCGACGGATGGAGCCTCAACTACGTGCTGGGGTAATGAATTCCACTCGTTGATGATTCGATGGGAACGTTGACAGTCAGCTGACAAGTAATTTGTTCTGGGCTTATGAAGATTTTTGGAGTGTCCTCGAAAATCCTCTGTTTTGGAAGACCAAAAATGAGAGCATATCAGGTACAACTTCATCACTAAGTAATTTGACAGCTGTAATCAAGTCCCCTCTAGTTCTTCGATAAGACACGGGGAATAGGTTTAGCTTAGACCATAGAGCGTCATACGGGGGCCTCGCTATTCCGGAAATAATCTGAGTTGCACTTCATTGAACCCTTTCCAAAAGCTCACTGTCCATTTTTAAGCGGATGCTAGCCGCTTGTATGTAGTACTCAAGTTCAGGACCCATGAATGCTGTATACAAAGTCAAAAAACGTTTTGGCATCAACATGACTGAAGGCCCTACGTATTGACCATAGGGTTGTAGCGGTAAATAAATCCCCAAAATAAATAGCTCTGTAAGTTTTCGACATTGGATGCTGACCATATTAGTTTTGGTGGACTCACCTAGCTGGAGGCGCTCGGTCATGCATCCGTACCAGATCACGTGTGGGAACGCCGTGCTCAACATCTACTGCAATCGCTAGCCAGACTAGGTCAGACAATTCCGATATATTGGCAATCGTCAAATACAACTTCTAATCCCCTTGATTCTGTCTTTCGATTTCTCTTGGTGGGTATGAGTTATAAGAGGTGTTACTGGTAAAAGCGTTGTCAAACACTGAATACCTGTGCCAACTTCAGGGTTCTAAAGCCTTTGACGGCTATTGCACGGCAGTGTGCAGCGATCTTTAAGTCTTGGCTAACAATTACTTTTAAGTCATTGTGTGTCTAGACAACAGGTAGCTGAGTGTTATTCATCGTGTACGTATCTACACCTTCATGACCGATATGCATCATAACAAACTTGTAAGTATTTATCGGCAACTGCCAGGTTTGAGACCACCCAGATTATTTCTCCAGGTCATTTTGGAGTTATATGCTATCACCCTTACTTCGTATCGCTCTCCACATCTTGACATCGTCAGCCTGTAGCAAGACAGATGATGATAATAGACGAGGAAGGTCATTTACTTACAACAGGAATAACACTGACCCCAAAACTGTACCCTGAGGCACTCTGCTAAGCACAGTTTCCCAGTTAGACAACTTGGAGTTCACTCGTACTCTTTGCTGGCGCTCAACTAGGAAGTATTTTGCCCACATCAAGACTGCTTGAAACCTCGACACTTCGTAACTTATATAACAGCCGGTTGTCCGGAACTTTGTCAAAAGCTTTGCTGAAGTCAAAGTAGGCCACGTCTACATGTAACTTTTGGTCCTTAAGAGCGCACCAGGCTTCACAGGCCACTGCTGAGTTGGTGAGACAGGAATGACCTATTCTATAGCCATCCTGCTTTTCCAAAATCAACCCGTTTTCATCGAGGTACGTAAACAGCTGCTTCCGAAAAATCTTTTCTAAAATTCTGAAATCTACACTGATTAGGCTCACGGGTCGGTAGTTCTCAGGTTTATGTTTCGTACCTGTTTCGAAGACAGGACTTACTATGGCGTTCTTCCAGTCTTTTGGTAAACGACACTGAGCTACGAGTAGATTAAAACACAAACTTAAGAGATTCGCAAAGAAGTTGGCCATTTCTTTTGATAACCTACGATGCAGTTCATCGAGCTACGTAGATGCTGATCGCAAATTTTCTTTGAATCAGCTTTGTTTTCTCTGATTTTGTGGCTTCTACCGAAGTCAATGTATTCCTTCAGGCAAGCTCGCTTGTCTTATGGCACAAAATATTAATCCGTCATTGTTATTTTATTTTGTAAATGTTGGAAACTGAAGTTAATTTTTTTAAGCTAAAAGAAGTGTTGTTGCCGCATAGGACTCTAACTGTCGGCATGATCGTTACTAACTATCATTTGTGATGTTATCGGTAGCAATAAAAGAAAACAAGAAATTCACCGGTAAAATTAAATGTGCAGATGACATTGTGCGTAGATTCACGGTATTCTCCAGAAGGACTTTGACATTTCAAACGTTCTGCTCTGTGGGAAAGCGGCAACGGTATGCAGGTGACGTTTTAGAAATAATTAGAGGTAACACTATAAACTACACGTGACTTCAGGCAGCGCGTAAGTGACCTTGAGATGATTCACCTACTTACTTAGGTCAAAAGAAAGCCGTGAATTATTATGAGGAATTAGGATTGATAATTGTGGTTACTAGTTAAGGTTGCGAGTTAGAGTAGAGTTTTTCATTGTGAAATTACAATCGCTTTAATGCCGATACCCAACTTGAATAAATGAATGG